TAAAAGTACACTTTCTGATGATAGTATACTAAAAAAGATGTCGCCGGCATCGTGTTTTTCTGCCGAAAAATGTACTTACCGGTGGAGAAGTTCTTGAATTGAAAAGATTTATTAGTTACATGGCAAATTTGCAAATGATTAAAGTTACAAGACCATTAATGATAACAGTCGAACGCTACAAGACTAATTTAATTTTCAAATCTTCCGATTTTTAATAAGATTATTACGCATTTAAATGAAAATTAATCTAAATATATATAACCCATGAGAATATGCGATATGGAAATACAATTTAAAAGATTAATAATCAATTGTATATAGGATAATAAGTTATAACACATAGAGTATGGAGAAATTAAATACAACGTATAAAAAAACTAGTGAAATAACGAAATTATAAAAAGTGTATTAAAGATTCTTTTGATCTGATTTTTTTTTCTTTAAAAAATTGGACTATAGATGAAAAATCATACTAGTAACAAATTGAAAATATCAATTGTTGCCAAGTGCCACAATCGGTCGTTCTCCCTAAATCACTAAATGAGTAAATGTAATACGGAGTACTTGTGAGTTATAAATGGTACCATGTGCTTGTCAGAAAGTTAGTAAACTTTTGTTTCTTTTCTGTTTCGATGCAATCCATATGAATGGCTACGAATACACAATAGCAATTTTTGACAGAATTCTTCAAAATTGGCAGAGATTTTGAAATTGATAGGTCAAATAGACACGAGCTATTTGACACTATATCATCAATAAATTTGCTTCAAATTTGTATCAAACTCGTAATTTTTTTGTAGCGTTATATACTCCGTATGATATATAACGATCCGTTACGTATGATCTATGATCTATTTACTAGTTAGTTTCTAGATCGTCAAGTACCTTGTGGTCTAATGGTATTATTAAGGCATGATCTATATTCACTCGATTTCAATATTACCAAAAGACTCGGTTCCAAAATATCATGAGTTGAATAATAGTAGAGGTGGGAGCATCAACGTACGCATATATGGCCAAAACAAAAGTTATATACGCAGTCAACGGTGCCCGGCCATGCCGCATGCGTCAAGCTTTCCGGCGAACGACTGGGCCAGCCGCCGGATACATTTAACTGTTCAACAGTGGTGTGCTTGACCGGCACGCGCCTAAAAGTCTCCATATTATCATCTCCACCACTATATATACATGCACTTATATGTATACCTTATTCCATCTACTTAATAATAAGCTACATACGTAAGTAGAGAGACAAGCCCAAATCAAAATTTTTCTTTATTCAGTAAGAGCAAATATATTCAGAACTATGGAGAAGAAATTCTTCGGACTTTGCCTGTTGGTTTTCATCTTACTTGCTTCCGGTCGGTAATCATTTCATAATCTTATTTCATTATTACTAGCTTCACTCTTTTTAATTACTAACGTACGAAATAGGAGTAATATGTTATACTCGTATTTGTATATTAATTTATTTACGAACCTACAATCAGGGGCGTAGCCAGAACACGTACTGGGCCAGGTACAAAGAAAATTTTTGAAAAAAAATTACACCGAATTTTTAATTTTACACTATAAATTTAGACAATTATGGAGTATAATTATGCAATATACGGAGCATTATATACGGAGCAGTGGAGTACTATATGAACCCAACCAAGTATGATTGTCTGAATCTGCCGAATCTGTTGAAATTTCGGCCGAAATGGCTGAATTGATTGATTCTGATCACTTGTGAAAAAATTATATTCAAAATATATTTTAATAGGAAAATAAAGAAAATATGATATGAAACATAGCTTAAAAATGGCCCTCTATATATATACATTAACTTCATCTTATTCACCCAGAAAAGTAATTCCAACATTACTTATTTTGATTACGTAGTACTCAGTATTATTCAATATAGAAAGTGAAATTAAAAGTTACGTGTTTAGCAGAAAAGTTACTGATAAGGCTGACAAACATGGTCACCAAATAGGCCTTAATTATTTTGATTATTCCACAATTCGAGCGAAATCAAATGTTACCTATTTTTAAAAAAAAGTTGGCTAAAAAGTTGGATAAAACATATTAGGAAACAAACTCTATAATAACTCACAACTATCAACGCAATCGTGTAAGTTTTTGCTTGCTAAGGATGTTTTCTTTTGGACTGTTTTCAGTCCCAGATCAGATCAGACCAGACCAGACTTAAACAGACCAGACCAGACTTAAATAGACCAGACCAGACCATACTTGGATAGTTATAAAATACACAGAAACCAGACGTTTACCAGACCAGTTCAGACCAGACTTAAACAGACCAGACCAGACCAGCAAATTTCAGTGCAAAAGAAAACATCCTAAAACTACGTAATAATTGTATGGAAAAATTAAAAAGTGAAGTGCAGGAGTTCAAGATCTTATATACTCTCTCTGTCCCGGAAACAAGCTCCCACTTTCCTTATTTAGATGTCCCAAAATAAACTTCTCACTTCCTTATTTGGCAAATTAATAACATCAAAACAGTGTCAAACAGTGCCAAACAGTGCCAAACAATGTCGAAACAGTGTCAAAACAGTAAAATTTTTCCCTCAGTAAATTTATTTCCTAAAAATGTGTGAAAGTCAACCTGAGAAATTGTTTCCAAGACGGAGGGAGTATATGTACTCCACTGCTCCGTATTCAATCCATATTTGTAGTGTAGGAAACACATTCAAAAAATTCTATATACTCCGTATTATTTTTATTATTAGGGGGGGAATCGATTAAAATTTGTGATAATTCTCAAAATATAACCATAGTTCCGGACATGATTATTAATTTTGAGATGTCATTCACCATCATATTAGGAAAAAGGATATGAGACGTACGTATTTTCAAAAGCACGTAAATTTCAGTCGTACAATTATGTAAGCTAGGGGTAATTTTCTGTTATTGTCATTAGAGGAAAGTTATTAAAATATTCCAAATTTTTGAACGAGCGTGACATAAGTATCCAAACTTGCACATATAATATATATTTCAAACTTTATATAAAAAGTTATTTTAACATCAGGACCATATATTTTTTTATAAATGTGATTTTATGTCGTCAAGTTCTAGATGTAATATTATTTATTTCACAAATGAAATTTTAGAATGTTAATTGCACTGTAACAAGGCTTAAGGTATTTTCAATTATATAATTATTCCAATAAATTTGTATTTGTAAAAAACATATAATCATGGTGCGAAAATAAGTTTAATTTTATATAAAGTTCGGGTATATATATTACATATGCAAGTTTGAGGTACACACGCCCTGTTAAAGTTTTGGGTATTTATATTATTTACCCTTTTTTAAATAATCCTCATCATCATGCATGATGATTGTTTTTGTGATTTATTTATTTGTTTATTTATTGTATAAATGGAGAGCAGATGGAAACATGGTTGAAGTTGAAGGCAAAACATGCGCTAAACCAAGCAGGGACTTCAAAGGTTTTTGCGGGTTTGATAGGGATTGTGTGAAGGCTTGCAGTAGAGAGCAGTGGCCTAGTGGCGTGTGCGTCAACAAAGGCTTTTTCAATGTTGCCTGCGAATGTCGCAGGCCTTGTTGATCCACATCCATACAGCCCAATCCAACTCGATCTTAATATATAGCTGCGGCACTTAATTATATATGGTTGCTTGTTTGTAATAATATTGATTAACATAAATAAATCAATATCAATAATCATTAGGCTTGTTTGCATATTTAGCCTATGATCCATAATCTTATACTCCATATGTATCTTACTGAAAACTTTGTACACTGCTGGTAGTATGAAGCTTTAGTACGTATTGCCCACTAGTAGTGATAATTGTAATAATAATAATAATAATAATAATAATAATAATAATAATAATAATAATAATAATAATAATAATAATAATAATAATAATAATAATAATAATAATAATAATAATAATAATAAGAGTTTGAATTATAGCTAGCACATATGTGTAAAAGTACTCTGTATATATTGGCATATTGTGTTTGCTATTCCTTCTGTTTTTACAAAGTCAATATTATTTGATCAAACAAGTTAAAAGTTAAATCCTCCAATTTTTACTCAACCAATATAATGGATGCCTCAGATTGTTTGTGTTGCATTTGCGAGGGCGTAGCCACAATTTCTTGGAGCGTGGTTAGACGACTAATAATATACTCCCTATCGTATTTAAATTATTTAATCGTTTAAAATAAAAGAACAAAAACATATGTAGTACGGAGTATTAAGTTTCAGATCACGTGGAAGAAATAAAATTAATACTACGTATGTACTAGTAATAATATCAATACATTCAAAAAATATAGGGGGACAATCATTTGTGCATAATTGTATGGTTATTAGTTGGGGTTTCCAGAAATGAGACTTATAATGCATTTATGCCTTGTCTAGTGACAGTTACACATCCGCCTTGAGTAACTACCCCGAGCCCAGTGACCAATGCAGTCATTTAACAATGAATTTTTTACAAGTATATTACTAAAATAAAACGTATTTACATAAATATGACTATTCATTACTACAACGTAGTGTTGTGGTAACTTAAGTTCAAAATTTGAATATGAATTACTATGATTTCATTACTACTCTAGTAATTAGTCATATTTTGTAAATCGTCTTTATTTTGGTCATATTTATGTAATTATTTCTTTAACAATTGATGAAGAAAAATATGATTTAAAAACGAAAAACGAGCATAAATGAGTAGAAGAAGAAACATGGAATCGCCAATGATGGGAGCAATGAAAGTGAAGGGAGGCTTCGGAATAAGAGACCATAGAATGATCAACTTTGCTATAGGTACCCCAAAATAGGGTACCTCATTTGTCCCCCACCCTAATGGGTGGCCATAAATGAGACTAAAGTTGCAAATCTCTCTATTATAAATAAGTGAATAAAACCTATCACTTTATATTTTCAAAAAAAAAATGTATGACTTTATAAATTATTTTAGACGGAAGATGTTTATTTATATGTGATCGATGTGATGTTTCAAATTAAAGAACTAAACTAACAAACTAGATAGACACAAGGACGACGGATTTAATAACAAGCCAATTAATTGATCACCTAACATGAGTTGGCTAGTGTACGTACGTCTTTCCTGCCATTCAACAGTGGTGTGCCGATGTAATCCCCTAACGGATGGCATGACACCAATGGCGGGTCGACCCAAAGCTTTTTCAAACGGGCAGGTACGGGTAAGCGGGTTGGTTAGGATGGACACACGATCATTATATACTTGCATTACAAAAAACATGGAATTGACAAGCATTTTTTACGGGATTCTTCAAAATTGGAAGAGATATGTCAATCCATGCAAAAGACAGTTTGACACGAGCTATTTGACACGAAATTATTAATAATATAAATACGTATAATCTACTTACTAGTTACTATCTTTGAAGATCGAATAGAATATTCAAAATCTGATCAACCGGTAAACTAATGCGGGTTTGGATTTACACTTCTAGTTCTCGATTAATTATTCAGCGGATGATTATAAATAGCAAATTTGCGTAGAAAAAGACAGGGTAAAACAGGGTTTGCGGCTCTGAAGTTAGATATGAGCAAGGCATATGACCGAGTTGAATGGGAGTTTTTAGAGGGGATGATGAGACGTCTTGGGTTTGCGGAGAGATGGGTGAGGATAATTTTGGAGTGTGTTTCCTCAGTATCTTACTCAATCCCCTTTGATGCTACAGAGTTGGGCCCGATTTATCCTACTAGGGGTCTTCGTCAAGGTGACCCGTTATCACCGTATCTCTTTCTTCTGATAGCGGAAGGCTTAAGTGCTCTTATTAGCAAACATGAGGCTTGCGGTAGGATTCATGGCGTGGCAGTGGCGCGAAGAGCACCTCGAATTTCCCATTTATTTTTTGCTGATGATAGTTTGCTTTTTTTCCAGGCCTCACAAGCTGAAGCTTTGACCATACGGGGGATTTTACAAGCATATGAATCAGCCTCGGGTCAAATGATAAATTTCAATAAATCTAAATTCTTTTTTAGTGCCAATGTGACAGACTATGTTAAGAAGGAGCTGACTGATTTGCTGCAAGTTGGATATGCCGGGGAGGAGGAGAGGTACTTGGGCTTACCGGCGTTGTTTGGGAAAGGTAAAAGGGAGATCCTTGGGTATTTGAGGAATCGAGTAATTAAAAAACTCCAGAACTGGAATAATAGATTTCTTTCGAAGGCTGGGAGGGAGATTCTTTTGAAAACAGTTATTCAGGCCATGCCGACTTACGCAATGAATGTTTTCCTTTTACCCGTTGACCTCTGTCGAGAAATTGAAGTAATAATGAATGGGTATTGGTGGAATGGTCATGCTGGGAAAGGGATTCGCTGGAGGAGCTGGGATTTTCTGTGTAGACCAAAAACAGTAGGGGGGATGGGGTTCAGGAAGGTCAGGGAGTTTAATTTGGCTATGTTAGCTAAACAGGCTTGGAAGCTCTTAACAGAAACAGAAACTTTGGCTGCAAGGGTTTTTCGTGCAAGGTATTATCCAGGCGGTTCTTATCTAACGGCAAAAATTGGGAATAACCCCTCATTCATCTGGAGAAGTCTGGTTGAGGTGCAGAAAATTACAGGGGAAGGAGTTAGATGGCGGGTTGGGGATGGGAGCTCCATTAACATCTGGAGAGATCCCTGGTTGCCTGATAAGGATAATCCTAGGGTCTCATCGGAGTGTTTTCATGGTCTAGAGGGAGCTTCAGTTGCTGGTCTTTTCAAACCTTTAAGGGCAGGTTGGGATGAGGATATATTGGTGGATCTCTTCAATGCTAGAGATCGTGAACTTATAAAAAGAATCCCAGTGAGTAACAGGTCGGTGACAGATCGCTTGGTCTGGGCGGGGGAGCAAAACGGCAGCTTCACGGTGAAGAGTTGCTATAGGAGGATTACAGGGGATATTTTTCCGGTTGGTTGGGTGGGATGGACGGCCATGTGGCGATTTAATTTACCTCCTAAAATGAAATCCTTTTTTTGGCAGGTATGTACCGGTTGTCTCCCTACAACGGAGAATCTAAGACGAAGGGGTGTGGCTTGTGAGATCAAATGTGGACTCTGTGGCCAGGATGGAGATGAATCCTTGCTTCACCTATTTGTAAAGTGCCAAGTTGCTAGAGAAGCATGGGGGACAGTTCGTTGGCTGGAGGTGGGCCAATTAGCTCATGACTTTTTGGAATGGCTTGAATTGAATTTTAAGGTGCTAAAGAAAGAAGACATTGCTGGGATTATCTCTGGCTGTTGGGGGCTGTGGGGAGAACGAAATCAAAGAGTGTGGAAAATGAGGAATCTCAGTGGGTTGCAGGTGATGTTAAAGACCAGGTCATATGTTGACAGTTGGGTTAAAGTGCAGCAACCAACATCACTTTTAAGGAGTAAACTCACCGCTAGCGCAATTCACTGGCAGCGACCTGGTGCAGGGAGGCGGAAGGTTAATGTCGATGCCTCAACCGGGGGAGAGAGATGCGGGTTCGGATGGGTTGTAAGAGATAGCTATGGAATATTTTTGGCAGGTGGATGTACTTCAGGGTCCGGTAAGTTTACCCCTCTCGAAGCTGAACTTATGGGTGTGAGGGAAGCTCTCAGTTGGCTTAAGGCTCAACAATGGGATTTTATTGATGTGGAATCTGATTCTCTTCTAGCTATTCAAGAAATTCAAAGGGGTTCAAGTTTATCTTATTCTGGAATTTTAGCCGAGGATATACGAGATTTGATGACTAACTTTGTTAGTATTATTTTTTCTCATGTTCGACGATCAGCGAACCGAGCAGCTCATGCGATGGCTAAGGCAGCGGGTTCTTTGTCTGATAGTCATGTTTGGTTTTTTACTTCCCCTCCTTTTGTTACTGATGTACTTGATTATGATTTGATTAATAGCAATTAATTTTATTTTCCGCAAAAAAAAAAAAAAAGAAGAATAAAACCGGAATTGTAATTTTGTGATTTTGGCCCATGTAAAATAGTACAATATTAAGTTGTTCCTTTATTATTATTTATTACATGAACATTTGCTTCACATAGCTAGCTTAGTTTGTTTGCATCTACTCCGTATATTTTTTTCATATGCACACTACGTACAAAAATGAGGTGTATGTAGGCACTCCAACCCTTTACCCTTTCCTAACAAAAAGAGAATATTCCTTTTTAGTGATGAAAATGGTGTAAACTGTTGGAGATGAAATACTGTTTGATGTGATGTTTACACCATTTTAGTGTAAAAAATGGTGTAAACTGTTGGAGATAGCCTAACCCGAAAGGTTTTAAAGAGTCATGATTCCTCTATGAAGTTTTATGCCGTATGTGAGCATCATCATCATCAAACATTTTTTTGTGACGGTTCTCGCTAAAAAATGTATGATGATGTTGTATAAGTCAAATGACTCCTAACCCCACCCGCGTCATAACAACTCATTAGTACATAATGCATACTTATATAGCTGTACATAGCGCCATAATTTAAGCCTTTCCTATATAGTACTGCTAGGAAGTATAACTACATTACGTAGTACAATCGTATTATTTATTATGGAGTATTATTTTCCTTAATTAATAATCTTGTATGCCTTAGATAAGTAGATTTTCTTTCTTCATTGCAAATAGAAAGATAGATTCCATGCATGTAGAGAGCGATCGAAGGATTCCCTCCACACCTATAAATAGGGGTCTCAGATGAGAGGAAGAGAGAGAGAGAACTTCCACTCGAATAAACGCTGCAGAAAAGCTTTGAAGAACTCCCGAAAGGCTCTGAAGGATTCCGAAGCATCGGAAGATATCAAGCCACGTTTTTTTCAAGAATATATGAATAATCCTTTGTGATTTCATCTATTCTTGATCAAACAAAGCAAAAAGTTGAAGAACGTTCGAAGATCTGAAGAACGAAGCTTGAAGATTCGAAGATCTGAAGAACGAAGCTTTGAAGATTCGAAGATATGAAGAACGAATCTTTGAAGATTTGAAGATATTCATATAAAAATTGAATCAAGATTCAACTGAAGATCAAGCCATATATCCCGGGAGGCCCTTAAACAGAAGATCAAGCCATAAAACGGCCCTTTTGTTGAAGATCAAGCCACATGAAAACCGGAGGCCCTTCAAGCTGAATTCTTTATTCAAGAAGATTTGAGGATCCAAAGAACGAAGGTTCGAATATCTCAAGAACGAAGATTCGAAGATTCGAAGAACGTTCAAATATTTGAAGAATCTGAGATTTAATTTTTAATTAATTTCTTTAATTATATTCATACCAAATTGCAATTGAAGAATCAGAGGATTCATATTTAGAGATTGTACCCGATATTCTCACATATTATTATTTGCGATCAATTTTAAGTAAATACTTAAAATTTGTTTCACAATAATCATTTAATTTATTTCATAGTGGGTGAGCCATAAATTAATGTATTCAGGTACAAAATTTTGTTTGTGCAAAATATTTGTGAACCGGGGTTTACAGAAAAAAATAAACACTTCACAAACATAGGTGGGTACAAAAATCAATATAAGAGTGGGTACAAACATCATTTTTATTGAAATAATAAGTAAGAATAAAGTAAAAATGATTTAGAGCCACACAAGCTTTTACCAAATTTGATATGGAACAATCTTAGTGGGATTTCCCGAAAAGATAAAATGAGACAATCTTAGTGGGACGGAGAGAATATGTAATTTCAAACACATCTTTTCACACTTAATATTAAAACACACTTGTTTATTTGGAACTTAAATTAGTTGTAAACCATAATTACATATTTCATCTGTTTGTTATAAAAATTATTTTATTTTTTAAATATATTATAAATTTTTTAATTAGTATTTATTTCCTCAAAAATGTGTGATAACTTAAGTGAAAATTCGCCCCCACTGATCGGATTATCTGGAAACGTCACTGCTGATTTGGCTGATTCTGCTGAAATTTATGAAGTTCTGGCTAAAGTGTATGCATTGGCTGATTCTGCTGATTTAAGAAAAAAATGTTTTTTAAATATATTTTATTAATAAAATAAAGAAAAAAATTATATGTAAAAATAGCTATAATGAGCATCTAAAGTAACTTCAGCCAATACAGCCAGAAAAGTAACTTCAGCCTTAGCTTACTTTTTCTGCTTATTACACAATTCAGCAAGTGAAAGCAAAAGTTACGTGTTTGGTGAAATAGTTGACTGATAAGCCTGATAAGCCGAAAAATAGTGTTGCCAAACGGACTCTAAATCTGATGGAGTTTTTATTTGATTAATATATATAATTAATGCTTTGTTCGAAAAAAGATAATTAAACGAGATAGAGAAAATGTAAATTTAGTCACGCAAAATATGCAAGTCCTCATAATATTGATATATTTATTAATTATATAGTTAGAGCACTGGACTGAGTTGAAATGATAACATTTTTTCGAAATATTTTTACAAGATATTTTTACACTAATTATTAAAAGAAAATTTGAATTTTCAGTGAGATGGACCATATATTAGCCCTTAGCCTGTCAATGGGGTTGGGTTCAGCCGGAACATAGTGTTTCAATATTATATTATATTAGCAAACAGATTCTAAGTTGAATAGTGGAGGCGGCAGCATCCACGTACGCATGGCCAAACAAAAGTGGTGACAACTCCGGTACCCATTTAAAAAATGGGGTACTGTACCTACCATGCATTTGATTGGTCCAAATCATTAAATCCCTTTTAATTTAGATTTAAATAATTCAACTGCATGATTCTGGTTGGTCCATGTGGACAAAGGTACGGTATCTTATGGGTACCGTAGAATCTACCAACAAAAGTTATATATACACCATCGACTGTGGATGTCAATGCGTCAAGCTTTCCGGCATGCAAGCGACTGGACCGGCCGGATATACAGAACCGGCTATGGACGGCAGGCACATAGGCATATGCCTAGGGCCTCATCGTTATCTGGGGCACCAATTCGACATGGAGTATTATTATGTGAATGTATATCATCCATTTATGCGTATGTGCTAGGTGTTGCCGCCGTGTATCTATGGCATGAATCAAATGGAAAAAGAAACACCAAAAATCACAACTTGAGAACACGTGTGTTATGAGCCGATCAACACCTTGAAAGTAATAAATAATTACACTTGAAAGTGTAATTTGGCAAATCACATTTGCGACCTTAAAATTATGACTCAGTCAATTTATGACATTTCACCGAGGCCCTCATAATCTCATATACAAACTAAAGGAAAATCAAAACTTGTTTTAATTTCTGGATATAAACGTAGTATTTTTTTTTATAATAAGAGAGACTATTTTATATTCAATTTAATTTCAATTTTCAAATCGATTGAGAAATTGAAATATTCAAATTTAGTTTTGTGCTTTAAAATATACTCTCGTACGTAGTAGTTTTTTCTATTAATTTTTTGTTGCAAACTATATTCTTAAATTTATTCATCACAAATTATGTTTCTAATATTATGCATTACTGAATATACTAAGAATGCTTTTAATTGGACAGAATTGTTTTTGTATGGTCTGGTCTGAACTGGTCTGATATGGTAAATGTTTGATTTGTGTATTTTATAACTATCTAAGTCTGATCTGGTCTGATCTGATCTAGTTTGGGATTGGAAAACGTTCAAAGTTAAAACATCCTAAATAACTTTTTTTTATAATCACCTATAGTAGGTGCTGAAATGTTTCAATTTAATTTAATATACGGAGTAGTTTAGTTTAATTTTAAAAAACGGAGTAGTTTTTACTATGAGTCTACTATGACACCGTATACCAAAGCAAAACTAAGAGCTTTTAAAGATAAAACTTAAGAAACAAAGAGATCAAGTTATACAAACAAGACTAAGTTTATCCCAGAAACATATATAGACACATCATGTTTCAAAATTTTGTTATAATAATGTTTTTAATTACTAGTCTATAATTTAAGTATTTGATTTTAGTTTTCTTCTACTTTTTAATCAATTATTCTATACGAAGTATATAATTTATTTTGTGTGAAGCAAACATCACTCGATCACTTATAGCATGATCTAATTCTAATTTTTGCCTGGGGCATCAAATTCTCCAAATTAAGACGGCCCTGCGGATATATGATAGTATCTGTTATGAAGTTTCAATAGTGGTGTGCTTGACCGGTACGCGCCTAAAACTCTCTGTATTATCATGTTCACCACTATATATACATGCCCAGAGGCCATATCATCTCCATCAACTTAATAATAAGCTATCTAGCTACGTACGTAAGTAGATAAACAAGCCCATATCAAAGTTTCTTCTTTATTTATTTAATACTCCGTAAGAGCATATTCACAACTATGGAGAAGAAATTCTTCGGACTTTGCCTGTTGCTTTTCATCTTACTTGCTTCCGGTCGGTAATCATTTCATAATTTTATTTCATTATTATTACTTCAATTCACTTTTTTAATTACTAATGTCCCAAATAAAAAATTATATTTGAATTTTCATGTATGGGGTGGGATCACATCAAACTAATCTTTCCATGCTAACCTACAAATTGTCACAAACTGTGCATCTTTACATTATTTGTACAGCATATTAAAGTTCAAAGTGTTGCATATTATTTGTACTACATATTAAAGTTCAAAGTGTTACAAATTATTTGTATTGCATATTGAAATTCACAGTGTGCATCTTTACATTATTTGTATTGCATATTGAAGTTTAAAGTGTTGCATATTATTGAGCTTGTAGGTTACTATTTTAAGCATGGTTTGTACGTATTTGATCTCTTATCTTCACACACACACATATATATATTCAATTTTATTTATATATTACGTGCGAAGTACTATATGTACTACACGTACTAGAGCCCGTTTGGTAATACTAGATTAGACGAAATCCGACGAATCTGCTAAAATTGATGAAATTTTGATTGAAGTTGCTGAATCTAATGAATTATGGAAAATTATATTTAAAATATATTTTAATAATAAAATAAAGATTAAATTATACTACGTATGAAAATAGCTTAAATAGTGCAGTC